GTCGCTATCACTACTGTCGCTATCACTGTCTATATCACTACTGTAGCTATCACTGTCTATCACTACTGTCGCTATCACTACTGTCGCTATCACTACTGTCGCTATCACTACTGTCGCTATCACTGTCTATAGCTATCACTGTCTATATCACTACTGTAGCTATCACTGTCTATATCACTACTGTGGCTATCACTGTCTATATCACTACTGTGGCTATCACTACTGTGGCTATCACTACTGTGGCTATCACTACTGTCGCTATCACTACTGTCGCTATCACTACTGTCGCTATCACTACTGTCGCTATCACTACTGTCGCTATCACTACTGTCGCTATCACTGTCTATAGCACTACTGTAGCTATCACTGTCTATATCACTACTGTAGCTATCACTGTCTATCACTACTGTGGCTATCACTACTGTCGCTATCACTACTGTGGCTATTACTACTGTCGCTATCACTGTCTATAGCTATCACTGTCGCTATCACTACTGTCGCTATCACTACTGTCGCTATCACTACTGTCGCTATCACTGTCTATAGCTATCACTGTCTATATCACTACTGTAGCTATCACTACTGCCTCTCTACATCACTAATGTAGCTATCACTACTGCCAATGTACATCACTACTGTCGCTATCACTACTGTCGCTATCACTGTCTATAGCACTACTGTAGCTATCACTGTCTATATCACTACTGTAGCTATCACTGTCTATCACTACTGTGGCTATCACTACTGTCGCTATCACTACTGTGTCTATCACTACTGTCGCTATCACTGTCTATAGCTATCACTGTCGCTATCACTACTGTCGCTATCACTACTGTCGCTATCACTACTGTCGCTATCACTACTGTCGCTATCACTACTGTCGCTATCACTGTCTATAGCTATCACTGTCTATATCACTACTGTAGCTATCACTGTCTATATCACTACTGTAGCTATCACTGTCTATATCACTACTGTGGCTATCACTACTGTGCTGTGGCTATCACTGTCTATATCACTACTGTGGCTATCACTGTCTATATCACTACTGTCTATATCACTACTGTCTATATCACTACTGTGGCTATCACTACTGTGGCTATCACTACTGTCGCTATCACTGTCTATAGCTATCACTGTCTATATCACTACTGTGGCTATCACTGTCTATCACTACTGTAGCTATCACTGTCTATATCACTACTGTAGCTATCACTACTATCTATATCACTACTGTAGCTATCACTACTGTAGCTATCACTACTGTCTATATCACTACTGTAGCTATCACTACTGTAGCTATCACTACTGTCTATATCACTACTGTAGCTATCACTGTCTATATCACTACTGTAGCTATCACTACTGCCTCTTTACATCACTAATGTAGCTATCACTGTCTATATCACTACTGTAGCTATCACTACTGCCTATATACATCACTAATGTAGCTATCACTGTCTATATCACTACTGTATTTATCACTACTGCCTATATACATCACTAATGTAGCTATAACTACTGCATATATCACTACTGTAGCTATCACTACTGCCTCTTTACATCACTAATGTAGCTATCACTACTGCCAATGTACATCACTACTGTCGCTATCACTACTGTCGCTATCACTGTCTATATCACTACTGTAGCTATCACTGTCTATCACTACTGTGGCTATCACTACTGTCGCTATCACTACTGTGGCTATCACTACTGTCGCTATCACTGTCTATAGCTATCACTGTCTATATCACTACTGTAGCTATCACTGTCTATATCACTACTGTGGCTATCACTGTCTATATCACTACTGTGGCTATCACTGTGGCTATCACTACTGTGGCTATCACTACTGTGGCTATCACTACTGTCGCTATCACTGTCTATATCACTACTGTGGCTATCACTGTCTATATCACTACTGTGGCTATCACTACTGTGGCTATCACTACTGCATATATATATACACATATCTACTGCCTATATACATCACTACTGTGGCTATCACTACTGTGGCTATCACTGTCTATATCACTACTGTGGCTATCACTGTCTATCACTACTGTAGCTATCACTACTATCTATATCACTACTGTAGCTATCACTAATGTGGCTATCACTACTGTAGCTATCACTACTGCCTATATACATCACTAATGTAGCTATAACTACTGCCTATATCACTACTGTAGCTATCACTACTGCCTCTTTACATCACTAATGTAGCTATCACTACTGCCAATGTAAATCACTAATGTAGCTATCACTAATGTAGCTATCACTACTGCCTATATCCATCACTAATGTAGCTATCACTACTGCCTATATACATCACTAATGTAGCTATCACTAATGTAGCTATCACTACTGCCTCTTTACATCACTAATGTAGCTATCACTACTGCCAATGTACATCACTAATGTAGCTATCACTAATGTAGCTATAACTACTGCATATATCACTACTGTAGCTATCACTACTGCCTCTTTACATCACTAATGTAGCTATCACTACTGCCAATGTACATCACTACTGTCGCTATCACTACTGTCGCTATCACTGTCTATATCACTACTGTAGCTATCACTGTCTATCACTACTGTGGCTATCACTACTGTCGCTATCACTACTGTGGCTATCACTACTGTCGCTATCACTGTCTATAGCTATCACTGTCTATATCACTACTGTGGCTATCACTGTGGCTATCACTACTGTGGCTATCACTACTGTGGCTATCACTACTGTGGCTATCACTGTCTATATCACTACTGTGGCTATCACTGTCTATATCACTACTGTGGCTATCACTACTGTGGCTATCACTACTGCATATATATATATACATATCTACTGCCTATATACATCACTACTGTGGCTATCACTGTCTATATCACTACTGTGGCTATCACTGTCTATCACTACTGTAGCTATCACTACTATCTATATCACTACTGTAGCTATCACTACTGTGGCTATCACTACTGTAGCTATCACTACTGCCTATATACATCACTAATGTAGCTATAACTACTGCCTATATCACTACTGTAGCTATCACTACTGCCTCTTTACATCACTAATGTAGCTATCACTACTGCCAATGTACATCACTAATGTAGCTATCACTAATGTAGCTATCACTACTGCCTATATCCATCACTAATGTAGCTATCACTACTGCCTATATACATCACTAATGTAGCTATCACTAATGTAGCTATCACTACTGCCTCTTTACATCACTAATGTAGCTATCACTACTGCCAATGTACATCACTAATGTAGCTATCACTAATGTAGCTATCACTACTGCCTATATCCATCACTAATGTAGCTATCACTAATGTAGCTATCACTACTGCCTATATACATCACTAATGTAGCTATCACTACTGCCTATATACATTACTAACTAATGTAGCTATCACTAATGTAGCTATCACTACTGCCTATATACATCCACTAATGTAGCTATCACTACTGCCTATATACATCACTAATGTAGCTATCACTAATGTAGCTATCACTACTGCCTATATACATCACTAATGTAGCTATCACTACTGTAGCTATCACTACTGCCTATATACATCACTAATGTAGCTATCACTACTGTAGCTATCACTACTGCCTATATACATCACTAATGTAGCTATCACTACTGCCTATATACATCCACTAATGTAGCTATCACTACTGCCTATATACATCACTACTGTAGCTATCACTACTGTAGCTATCACTACTGCCTATATACATCCACTAATGTAGCTATCACTACTGCCTATATACATCCACTAATGTAGCTATCACTACTGCCTATATACATCACTACTGTAGCTATCACTACTGCCTATATCACTAATGTAGCTATCACTACTGCCTATATACATCACTAATGTAGCTATCACTACTGCCTATATACATCACTAATGTAGCTATTACTACTGCCTATATCACTAATGTAGCTATCACTACTGCCTATATACATCACTAATGTAGCTATCACTACTGCCTATATACATCACTACTGTAGCTATCACTACTGCCTATATACATCACTACTGTAGCTATCACTACTGCCTATATCACTAATGTAGCTATCACTACTGCCTATATACATCACTACTGTAGCTATCACTACTGCCTATATACATCACTACTGTAGCTATCACTACTGCCTATATACATCACTAATGTAGCTATCACTACTGCCTATATACATCACTAATGTAGCTATCACTACTGCCTATATACATCACTAATGACTATATACATCACTAATGTATCTATTACTACTGCCTATATCACTAATGTAGCTAACACTACTGCCTATATACATCACTAATGTAGCTATCACTACTGCCTATATACATCACTAATGTAGCTATCACTACTGCCTATATGCATCACTACTGTAGCTATCACTACTGCCTATATACATCACTAATGTAGCTATCACTACTGCCTATATACATCACTACTGTAGCTATCGCTACTGCCTATATCACTAATGTAGCTATCACTACTGCCTATGTACATCACTAATGTAGCTATCACTACTGCCTATATACATCACTACTGTAGCTATCACTACTGCCTATATCACTAATGTAGCTATCACTACTGCCTATATACATCACTAATGTAGCTATCACTACTGCCTATATACATCACTAATGTAGCTATCACTACTGCCTATATACATCACTAATGTAGCTATCACTACTGCCTATATACATCACTAATGACTATATACATCACTAATGTATCTATTACTAATGTAGCTATCACTACTGCCTATATACATCACTAATGTAGCTATCACTACTGCCTAGATATGTCTGGTTAAACAAAGGATTCTATTTAATTTGATGTCTGCGTTTGACATAAATCTGATTGCTGTGTGAGCCTTGTTGTGGGAGGGGTTGTCAATTATAGTGGAAGCTTCAAGGTCTTACTGACCTGGGCCACCACAGTGTGTTTGTGTGTGTTACTGACCTGTGACCTGAGCCACCACAGCCTGAGAGATTCTCCTGTTCCCCAAGAACGACTTGATCTCCTCCTTCACAATGCTGCTGTCTCTCCTGTGTACACACACACACACACACGACAGTGCATAACTAGGCTAACCATAGTGTTATTGAATATATATATATATATATATATATATATATATATATATATATATATATATATATATATATATATATATATATATATATATATATATATATATATATATACACACACACACCGGTATAACCGTATTTTCCGCACTATAAGGCGCACCGGAGTATAAGCCGCAGCAGCTAAATTGAATGATGTGTACATATATAAGCTGCACTGGACTATAAGCCGCAGGTGTTTTAATGTTTAATTACCATATGTAAGGGTTCGTGCACAGAGGGGATTGTCGGGAAAGAGATGGCTGCTTGAGGAAGCTCCCATTTATTAACATTTCAACATTTCAATCATCTCGCTCTCGTAATGTCTGTCTGTCTTGCTCTCGTTCTGTCTCTCGTTCTGTCTCCGTACCACTCTCGGTTCCACTTTTACTTTTGCACGCTACCAGTCTCACTCTTTTCCGGCCTCCAGCTTTTCCTGCTGGAGCCCGCCGCTTAAAGGTGGGGGGCGCGGACCGGTCATAGAGCCCATAGAGTTAAAGTTGGTGGACTGTAACCTGTAAAATCCATAGATTTAGGAGGTCTTCTAGTGGCCGTTAGCTGTAAAAATCCATAGATTAGCCGCACCGTTATATAAGCCGCAGGGTCGAAAAATGGGAAAAAAGGTGCGGCTTATAGTCCGAAAATTACGGTATATATATATACACACACAGCTCAAAAAAATTAATGGAACTCTTAAACAACACAATGTAACTCCAAGTCAATCACACTTCTGTGAAATCAAACTGTCCACTTAGGAAGCAACACTGATTGACAATACATTTCACATGCTGTTGTGCAAATGGAATAGACAACAGGTGGAAATTATTGGCAATTAGCAAGACACCCCCAATAAAGAAGTGGTTCTGCAGGTGGTGACCACAGACCACTTCTCAGTTCCTATGCTTCCTGGCTGATGTTTTGGTCACTTTTGAATGCTGGCGGTACTTTCACTCTAGTGGTAGCATGAGACGGCGTCTACAACCCACACAAGTGGCTCAGGTAGTGCAGCTCATCCAGGATGGCACATCAATGCGAGCTGTGGCAAGAAGCTTTGCTGTGTCTGTCAGCGTAGTGTCCAGAGCATGGAGGCGCTACCAGGAGACAGGCCAGTACATCAGGAGACATGGAGGAGACCGTAGGAGGGCAACAACCCAGCAGCAGGACCGCTACCTCCGCCTTTGTGCAAGGAGGAGCAGGAGCAGCACTGCCAGAGCCCAGCAAAATGACCTCCAACAGGCCACAAATGTGCATGTGTCTGCTCAAACGGTCAGATACAGACTCCATGAGGGTGGTATGAGGGCCCGAAGTCCACAGGTGGGGGTTGTGCTTACAGCCCAACACCGTGCAGGACGTTTGGCATTTGCCAGAGAACACCAAGATTGGCAAATTCGCCACTGGCGCCCTGTGCTCTTCACAGATGAAAGCAGGTTCACACTGAGCACATGTGACAAACGTGACAGAGTCTGGAGACGCCGTGGAGAACGTTCTGCTGCCTGCAACATCCTCCAGCATGACCGGTTTGGCGGTGGGTCAGTCATGGTGTGGGGTGGCATTTCTTTGGGAGGCCGCACAGCCCTCCATGTGCTCACCAGAGGTAGCCTGACTGCCATTAGGTACCGAGATGAGATCCTCAGACCCCTTGTGAGACCATATGCTGGTGCGGTTGGCCCTGGGTTCCTCCTAATGCAAGACAATGCTAGACCTCATGTGGCTGGAGTGTGTCAGCAGTTCCTGCAAGAGGAAGGCATTGATGCTATGGACTGGCCCGCCCCTTCCCCACACCTGAATCCAATTGAGCACATCTGGGACATCATGTCTCGCTCCATCCACCAACGCCACATTGCACCACAGACTGTCCAGGAGTTGGCGGATGCTTTAGTCCAGGTCTGGGAGGAGATCCCTCAGGAGACCATCCGCCACCTCATCAGGAGCATGCCCAGGCGTTGTAGGGAGGTCATACAGGCACGTGGAGGCCACACACACTACTGAGCCTCATTTTGACTTGTTTTAAGGACATTACATCAAAGTTGGATCAGCCTGTAGTGTGGTTTTCCACTTTAATTTCGAGGGTGACTCCAAATCCAGACCTCCATGGGTTGATACATTTGATTTCCATTGATTAATTTTTGTGTGATTTTGTTGTCAGCACATTCAACTATGTAAAGAAAAAAGTATTTAATAAGATTATTTCATTCATTCAGATCTAGGATGTGTTGTTTAAGTGTTCCCTTAATTTTTTTGAGCAGTGTATATATATATATATATATATATATACACATACATACAGGTAAAAGTCAGTAAATTAGAATATTTTGAAAAACTTGATTTATTTCAGTAATTGCATTCAAAAGGTGTAACTTGTACATTATATTTATTCATTGCACACAGACTGATGCATTCAAATGTTTATTTCATTTAATTTTGATGATTTGAAGTGGCAACAAATGAAAATCCAAAATTCCGTGTGTCACAAAATTAGAATATTGTGTAAGGGTTACATTTTGAAGACACCTGGTGCCACAAAATAATCAGCTGATTAACTCAAAACACCTGCAAAGGGCTTTAAATGGTCTCTCAGTCCAGTTCTGAAGCCTACACAAACATGGGGAAGACTTCAGATTTGACAGCTGTCCAAAAGGCGACCATCGACACATTGCACAAGGAGGGAAAGACACAAAAGGTTATTGCAGAAGAGGCTGGCTGTTCTCAGAGCTCTGTGTCCAAACACATTAATAGAGAGGCAAAGGGAAGGAAAAACTGTGGTCAGAAAAAGTGTACAAGCGATAGGGATCACCGCGCCCTAGTCAAGATTGTGAAAAAAAAACCCATTCAAAAATGTGGGGGAGATTCACAAGGAGTGGACAGCTGCTGGAGTCAGGGCTTCAAGATCCACCACCAAGAGACGCTTGAAAGACATGGGTTTCAACTGCCGCATACCTCGTGTCAAGCCACTGTTGACCAAGAAACAGCGCGAAAAGCGTCTCACCTGGGCTAAGGAAAAAAAGAGCTGGACTGCTGCTGAGTGGTCTAAAGTCATGTTTTCTGACGAAAGCAAATTTTGCATTTCCTTTGGAAATCGAGGTCCCAGAGTCTGGAGGAAGACAGGAGAGGCACAGGATCCACGTTGCCTGAAGTCTAGTGTAAAGTTTCCACCATCAGTGATGGTTTGGGGTGCCATGTCATCTGCTGGTGTCGGTCCACTCTGTTTCCTGAGATCAAGGGTCAACGCAGCCGTCTACCAGCAAGTTTTAGAGCACTTCATGCTTCCTGCTGCTGACCTGCTCTATGGAGATGGAGATTTCAGGTTCCAACAGGACTTGGCGCCTGCACACAGCGCAAAATCTACCCGTGCCTGGTTTACGGACCATGGTATTTCTGTTCTAAAACCAAGTATTGAGTATTGTACATGCTCATATTTTTCATTTTCATACTTTTCAGTTGGCCAACATTTCTAAAAAATCCCTTTTTTGTATTAGCCTTAAGTAATATTCTAATTTTGTGACACACGGAATTTTGGATTTTCATTTGTTGCCACTTCAAATCATCAAAATTAAATGAAATAAACATTTGAATGCATCAGTCTGTGTGCAATGAATAAATATAATGTACAAGTTACACCTTTTGAATGCAATTACTGAAATAAATCAAGTTTTTCAAAATATTCTAATTTACTGACTTTTACCTGTATATAAAATAATAAACAACATATGCGATTTAACAGACCCTTTTAAAGTCCACAGCAACTTAGTCTTAAGTATATACATTTTCAAATGGTTGGTCCCAGCGGGAATCAAACCCACAATCTTGGCGTTGCAAGTGCCATGCTCTACCAACTGGGCCACAGACAACATTAGTTTGCTGTGTAAAATATGGACCTGTGTTTCCACTATCACATACAGTGCCTTCAGTATTCATACCCCTTGGATTATTCCACATTTTGCTGTTTTACATCCTGAATTTAAAATATTTTTTTAAATCTCACCCATCTACACACAATACCCCATAATGACAAAGTCAAAACATGTTTTTAGAAATGTTTGCACATTTATTGAAAATGAAATACAGAATTCTCACACTTACATAAGTATTCCCACCCGAGTGAATACTTTGCAGAAGCAACTTTGGAGCAATTATAGCTGTGAGTCTTTCTGGGTAAGTCTCTAAGAGCTTTCCACACCTGGATTGTACAATATTTGCTCATTAATCTTTTCAAAATTCTTCAAGCTCCATTTTCAGGTCTTGCCATGGATGTTCAAGGCGATTTAAGTCAAAACGGTAACTCGGCCACTCGGGAACATTCACTCAATTCTTGGTAAGCAACTCCAGTGTAGATTTGGCCTTGTGTTTTAGGTTATTGTCCTGCTGAAAGGTGAATTAATTTCCCTGTGTCTGGTGGGAAGCAGACTGAACCAGGTTTTCCTCTAGGATTTTGCCTGTGCTTCGCTCAATTAATTTCCTTTTTTATCCTGAAAAGTCCCCCAGTCCTTAACGATTACAAGCATACCCATACCATGATGCAGCCATAGCCTTTTAGATTTGATGATGTTTAAATGTTGAAGTTGAAATGGTGCTGGAATAGCAGAGGCAGTGATCCTGTTGTCTTTGTGATGACTTGCGGTAACGCCGTGGTTCTAATTAGTGAACTGTGAAACGTTAAGTTGCTTGACCATGCTGCAGGTCATGTAACTGATTGTTACATGGAATATTTGCTTTGTGGACTTCAGACAGATGTTGCGCTCCGGTTTTGTGATGAAACAAATGTACAGTATGTGTAGTTGAATCTCTCTCTCGGTCTCTGTCTCTCGCAACCTGAGAGAGATTTTACTGTAATTCTTTGTATCTGCACAGTTCTTTCAGTTTTTGTCAAATTTGCCATGTGGTTGTTAGCCTGACCGCTGGGCTCTCAATCGGTTCATTAAGCTCAGGATCAGGATGGTCAAACGAGGCTGTGTTGTATCAGATCAGCAAGACAGCCTTAATCGTGAAAGTGGTAGCCTAAATGTTGTCAAGCTTTTTTAGGTGTGATTTGATATAGTCCTGATGGTGGTGGACTGCTGTATACAATTACATATTGAATAGGATCCCTGTTAGCCTGGGTACCATTCTGTTAATCTTTCATTTCACTCCTTGTACTCCATATCATGCCAAATCCTTGCCACTCCTATGTTTGGCATGACACGGAGTACAAGGAGTGGAAAGTTAGCACAAAAAAGGGTTCTGGATTTCAGGCTAGATCTCTATAAGCTGGTGTGTGACTTTGACCCCGCCTTGACCCCATCATCACTGACCTCATGAGCTCCTCCACCTTGTCATCGATGTCCAGCTCCTCCTCCGTGGCCTCGAACCCAAACGCCCTGGCGGCCGCTGCGCTGTTCACAGGGTATCGCGGCGGTGAGAGTTTCCCATTGGGCGTCGCCACCAGGCTGTCCCGCCCCCCATTCTGCGCCATGTTGACCAGCGACACTGCGGAGGGCAGGATGGCGGAGGGCGGGCCGGGCGGTGGGGAGGTGTCGTAGCTGTTGCTAGGGGACGGGGACAGCCCCCCGCGTGGTGAGAGATACTGGGTGTGTGTCACGGTAGAGTTGGTGGAGGAAGAGGCCAGGGCGGTGTTGGTAACATTGCTGCTCCCACTACCACTGGTGGCATTATTATTAATAACACAGGAAGAGGATGATGTAGAGGAGGTGGTGGCGGCAGAGAGAGAGGCAGTGTTGTTGTTGTTGGTGGTGGTGCAATTGGGGTCTGACACAGAGCTGCTTGCTCCTCCCCCATAGGAGGTGCGATGGCCAAACTTGTCCCCGTGCTCGCGGTCCAGCCGGTCTAGGGTCTCCATGGCGTGGAGGATCTCCTGCTTGGTCATGCCCGTACGCCGCAGCCTCTGGAGCAGGTCGATCTGCTCGATGGTGAAGCGAGGCTCGTCTGTGTAATGAGACATCCTGAGGGAGGGAGGAGAGAGATGAGGGGAGGAGGGAGCTGAGAGAAAATAAAGTGAGACGTGAAGGGGAGAGAAGGCATGAGGAGAGATGAGCGAGGAGGGAGAGAGGAAACAAGATAACGGGGAGAGAGGGAGGAGGAGGAGGGAGAGAGGAAAAGAAGGGGAGAGGGGAGAGAGTGAGGAGGAGGATGGGAGAGAGGAAAGAAATGGGGTGGAGAGGGAGAGAGGGTGACGGAGGAGGCGAGAGAGGAAAGAGAACGGGGAGAGTGAGGAGGAGGGAGAGAGAGAGGAAAGAACGGGGGAGAGGGAGAGAGTGAGGAGGAGGAGGGAGAGAGGAAAGAACGGGGGAGAGGGAGAGGAGGAGGGAGAGGGAAAGAGACGAGAGGAAAGAGAACGGGGTAGAGGGAGAGAGTGAGGAGGAGGGAGAGAGTGAGAACGGGGGAGAGGGAGAGAGGGAAGAGAACGGGAGAGAGTGAGGAGGAAGGAGAACAGGGGAGAACAGCAGCAATAGCAGTCACCTTGAAAGCAGCAGCTGATGCTCTCAATCATTCTGCTATGATTTAAGAGCAATAACAAATGCACTTCCCCCGCTGTATGGTTTCCTATAGGCTAAGCATTTCTCTGTATGGTTTCCTATAGGCTAAGCATTTCTCTGTATGGTTTTCCATAGGCTAAGCATTTCTCTGTATGGTTTTCCATAGGCTAAGCATTTCTCTGTATGGTTTCCTATAGGCTAAGCATTTCTCTGTATGGTTTCCTATAGGCTAAGCATTTCTCTGTATGGTTTCCTATAGGCTAAGCATTTCTCTGTATGGTTTCCTATAGGCTAAGCATTTCTCTGTATGGTTTTCCATAGGCTAAGCATTTCAGTGTAGTAGAGATCAATAGAATCATAACCAGGCTGCAGCACATCTTGTGAGGCATTGGCCGGTAATGTACGACTATTGACTAGATCTGATCAATGCTTGCACTTTACATCCCTAGTTCTAGAACCACCACACTACTACAGTACAGCCTAGTTCTAGAACCACCACACTACTACAGTACAGCCTAGTTCTAGAACCACCACACTACTACAGTACAGCCTGGTTCTAGAACCACCACACTACTACAGTACAGCCTAGTTCTAGAACCACCACACTACTACAGTACAGCCTAGTTCTAGAACCACCATACTACTACAGTACAGCCTAGTTCTAGAACCACCACACTACTACAGTACAGCCTAGTTCTAGAACCACCACACTACTACAATACAGCCTGGTTCTAGAACCACCACACTACTACAGTACAGCCTAGTTCTAGAACCACCACACTACTACAGTACAGCCTAGTTCTAGAACCACCACACTACTACAGTACAGCCTAGTTCTAGAACCACCACACTACTACAGTACAACCTAGTTCTAGAACCACCACACTACTACAGTACAGCCTAGTTCTAGAACCACCACACTACTAACAGTACATCCTGGTTCTAGAACCGCCCAACACTACACAGTACAGCCTAGTTCTAGAACCACCATACTACTACAGTACAGCCTAGTTCTAGACCACCACACTACTACAGTACAGCCTAGTTTCTAGAACCACCACACTACTACAGTACAGCCTAGTTCTAGAACCACCATACTACTACAGTACAGCCTAGTTCTAGAACCACCATACTACTACAGTACAGCCTAGTTCTAGAACCCACCACACTACTACCAGTACAATCCTGGTTTCTAGAACCGCCACACTACTACAGTACATCCTGGTTCTAAACCGCCACACTACTACCAGTACAGCCTAGTTCTAGAACCACCATACTACTACAGTACAGCCTAGTTCTAGAACCACCACACTACTACAGTACAGCCTAGTTCTAGAACCACCATACTACTACAGTACAGCCTAGTTCTAGAACCACCACACTACTACAGTACAGCCTAGTTCTAGAACCACCATACTACAGTATAGCCTGAATTTGCTTTTTTAAAGTCTGCTGCTATTTAGGCTGAGTCAAGGGTAGGCTAGTAAACCATTATTAAACCATCACACCTTTGAACCTAACTGCTACTAGCTACAGTCCTAAACAATTTCAATCATGTAGTACAACTTACTTTTCTAATCCATAGCCCATCAATAAGAGTTATGCAATAGGACCAAAGCTGAAAAGGTGTTGTCAGGTGTTGTGAATGAACAATTTATTAGCAGGATTCTTACCTTTCTCTTTGTTGACAGACAGTTTGCCTAGAGCAGCTGAGGCTCAAATCACTGCTATTGTATCCCACCTGAGCCTGAGCTATTTACGCAGTTATCTAGGCCATGAGTTAGCGGTTAGCTAGCACAGCTTGGTTAACCATAAGGAGTACAAAGCTAACAAAAAGGTGAACTGCTAGTTAGACCACAATACATGTTTTTACCACATTGTATCAATGTACGTGTGCGCGCGCGAGAGAGACCCTTTTGCGTCCCTTTGATATTTTAAGTGGCCTTTAATATAGAACACATGGAAAATTCAATAAGTGATATTTTTGTTTTATACGAATAAGACTTGCTAAAGTTCCAAAATTCTACATTTTGACACGTCCCTCTGACTTCAAAGATTTTAACCACTTAACCCTAGTCTCGCATTGCCATACCTCCAACATCACATCGTTGATTTTGTATTGCAAAAAAGGTTTGAATGGTCCTCTGGCTTCCAGCGGCAAGATTTTGATTGGATGTTACATTTCAAGAACCCTCCCCCCACGTGTCCGTAGAAGGGCTGCTGGGAGTTATGTGCGTCACTGTTTTCGATCCGGGTAGGACACATTTAGTAGAGAGTTATTGCCTATGCTAGTAGTTTGGCCGACAGTCTTCTATTTAATTTTTACTGAAATTGGATTACCCTGGTAAAGTCAACACGTTCTAAACTGCTCTGGTGACACTTCTTTTCCCCCAAAATACTGTGAAGATTGCCCATTATTTTGTTTTTGGAAGGACCCAAAAAACTGAGGCAGTGGGAGAACCTATTCAAGTAAATAAATATGTTTTTTTAAATGTAAAGAAACAATGTATTATTAGCTAGCTAGCTGGCTACAGTAGGTCACGTTGTAGGCTAACTCAACTTTAGCTAGCTAACTTTACACACTATTTAGCTAAGTAAATTAAAATGTCATCAGCTAGCTAACTTCCTATTAGCTAGCTATCTTGATATAACCATTGTACATTTAAAAAAAAACAGTCTCCAAATGCATTTCTAGATAACAACCATGGAAGAGGGTGAAATTGCAGCTCCAGCTGTCAGTAAAGGGAGAGCGTAGGCTACTGAATAGGGCAGGTCATTTTGTGGGAGGACATTACGAGAAGAATCTCCAGTTCCTAGAGGGGAAAGCTTTTGAAGGCAGAAAGATAATAGCAAAAGCTGAAAAACATCGGCCCATCCAGGTATTTTCCGCAGGTGCTGGAGTTGTAGGTGAACTCATGGAAAACAGAAAGGAAAAAACGCCCGCACACCGCTGCTCATGCTCCCAGGTGATATTTATTTATAACAACGTTTCCACCCTTAGGAAGACCTAAGGGTCGAAACAAATATCACCTGGGAACACGAGCAGAAATATCTAGTCAATAGTGTAGTCGTACATTACCGGCCAACGCCTCACAAGATGGAAAATGTGCTGCAGCCTGGTTATGATTATATTGATCTCTATTACACTACACTTTTATGCCTATACTAGACTAAGGAGGTATATATATATATATGAATGCTTCCGCTCAGTGTTTGAGATTTATTTTAAAACTACAAAACACTTACACACCATTGCACTTTATATAACAGGGTTGGCTGGCCTTCTTTAGTCACTCGTAGGCTCAGTCACTGGTATACTTTCATTTACAAAGCCATTTTGGATTTACTACCATTTTATCTGGGCATTTTTTATTTTTCAGAAATATGGTTGGTACGCCCTTCGTTCGCAGGACTTTATCCTGCTAACTGTTCCAAAATGTCCAAACTGAATTTGGTAAAAGGGCTTTTATGTACTCTGCGCCATGGGTTTGGAACGCCTTACAACATACATTTAAAACTGGAAGAACTTGTCCTGATTGGTGTCTTTAAATCATAGATGAAGAATTTTGAGGCTGATTCCTTGACCTGTCAATGTTTTTTTAAATTGCTGTTTTATGATTCTGTTATGCTCCTGTGATGTCTATGGATGTTTACTAGATCACTTGTAGTTTTTCATGTTGTCTGTCTGTAATTGTGTAATGACTTGGTGCTGCCCATCTTGGTCACGACGCTCTTGAAAAACAGATCTCAAATCTCAAATGAGCCCTTAAAAATAGTTAAAAGGTTAAATTAAAAATGAAGACCTAAGGGTGGAAACGTTGTTATGAATAAATATCACCTGGGAGCATGAGCAGAAACATAATAGCAACATAATATTCAGTGCTGTCTAATTTGAGTATAATGAAACCTGTTTCTTTGTGATGTTTTCTGTCCTCAGATATGTAAAGCTGTGAAAGCCTGTTAGCAGATGAAGAGACGTCCCAAGACACTAAGGGTTTATCCTGTATGCCCTGGGTTATGTGTGTAGACCTGCATACAGTACTAGTCAAAAGTTTGGACACCTTCTCATTCGAGGGTTTTTCTTTATTTTGACCATTTCCTACATTGTAGAATAATAGTGAAGATATCAAAACTATGAAATAACACATATGGAATCGTGTAGCAACCAAAAGTGTTAAACAAATCAAAATATATTTTGTATTTGAGATTCTTCAAAGTAGCCACCCTTTGCCTTGATGACAGCTTTGTACAATCTTGGCATTCTCTCAACCAGCTTCATGAGGTAGTCACCTGGAATGCATTTCAATTAACAGGTGTGCCTTGTTAAAAGTTAACTTGTGGAATTTATTTCCTTCTTAATGCGTTTCAGCCAATCAGTTGTGTTGTGACAAGGTAGGGGTGGTATACAGAAGATAGCCCTATTTGGTAAAAGACCAAGTCCATATTATGGCAAGAACAGCTCAAATAAACAAAGAGAAATGACAGTCCATCATTACTTTAAGACATGAAGGTCAGTCCATATGGAACTTTGAACGTTTCTTCAAGTGCAGTCGCAAAAACCATCAAGCGCTATGATGAAACTGGCTCTCATGAGGACCGCCACAGCAAAGGAAGACCCAGAGTTACCTCTGCTGCAGAGGATAAGTTCATTAGTTAACTGCACCTCAGATTGCAGCCCAAATAAATGCTTCAGAGTTCAAGTAACAGACATCTCAACGTCAACTGTTCAGATGAGACTGTGTGAATCAGGCCTTCAAGGTCGTATTGCAAAGAAACCACTACTAAAGGTCACCAATAAGAAGAAGAGACTTGCTTTGGCCAAGAAACACGAGCAATGGACATTAGACTGGTGGAAATCTGTACTTTGGTCTGATGAGACGCAGAGTAGGTGAACGGATGATGGAGGAGGAGGTGTAATGGTGCTTTGCTGGTGACACTGTCAGTGATTTATTTAGAATTCAAGGCACACTTAACCAGCATGGCTACCACAGCATTCTGCAGCGACACGCCATCCCATCTGGTTTGCGCTTTTCAACAGGACAATGACCCAAAACACACCTCCAGGCTGTGTAAGGGCTATTTGGCCAAGAAGGAGAATTATGGAGTGCTGCATCAGATGACCTGGCCTCCACAATCACCCAACCTCAACCGAATAGAGATGGTTTGGGATGAGTTGGACCGCAGAGTGAAGGAAAAACAGCCAACAAGTGCTCAGCATGTGTGGGAATTCCATCAAGACTGTTGGAAAAGCATTCCTCATGAAGATAGTTGAGAGAATGCCAAGAGTGTGCAAAGCTGTCATCAAGGCAAAGGGTGGCTACTTTGAAGAATCTAAAATATATTTTGATTTGTTTAACACTTTTTTGGTTACTACATGATTCCTTATGTGTTATTTCATAGTTTTGATTTTTTCACTATTATTCTACAATGTAGAAAATAGTAAAAATAAAGAAAAACCCTTGAATGAGTAGGTGTCCAAACTTTTGACTGGTACTGTATGTTAGCAAATGTATACAAAAATACAGTTAACCATCACACACAATGTATAAACCTATTACAATTGGAGCAGGCCAAACCTGCTGGAGGTCTGCAGGGTTCTGTTTCAGCCCAGCATTAACACAACTGAATCCAAACCAAGGATCAGTTGAGCAAGGTTGACCACCACTGGTATGGAGGTTCTCTTGTTCACCTGAAATTATGCTTTAGTAATAATTGCCTACTTGTTACTAATCAATTATCTATTGTTTAGACTAATACAGTGAGGGGAAAAAAGTATTTGATCCCCTGCTGATTTTGTACGTTTGCCCACCCGACAAAGACATGATCAGTCTATAATTTTAATGGTCGTTTTTTTTTTTTTCACTTCTTGTCAGTGGGCAAATGTACCAAATCAGCAGGGGTTCAAATACTTTTTTTCCCCTCACTGTATGTCTAATCTTTACATACCAGTTAGCATATTTGTACATTTTGAAGTGATGAAGTGTTAATTATTTGTAGTGAAGTATTTTAAAAAAACGTGTTTTTATACTTTTAAAAAGTATTTAAAATGAACTAGTGTCAATGTTGATTAATCACATATCACAGTCCTGCAATAAAGAGGGGAAGGGTTCTGTCTCTAATGTGTCTGTGTTGTATTCTCAAATGAACATTTCCTTTTTGTTTTAGTTGTAAGATCTCCAAATCGGTTTTATTTGACTGTCACTCTCAGTATATCAGCTATGTGAATCCATTTTGTAGCTTATCATATGGCATGCGTCACCAATGCACCAGAGGCCTACAGTATCATGTCATTACTGGCCTAGTGGGCATCTGGCATCTGAAGCAGAGAAAAGCTAAACTCACACATTGTTTACATGTTGAGCTATATGTTCTCCATTTAAAATGATACCAGCAGACAATGTATGAGGAAAACCATATACCAGATTTTGTACATGCCTTTTAAGTGCTGACATATAAAATGGTTTAGTACAAATCCAACCCTTGTAATTTAGGTACAGTATGAAAATAAGATGATGACAATTAGGCTACAGGAGATGAGTATCAGCGCTAACAGTTTATGTTCATTTTATTTCATTCATTTTAGCAATGTT